CTTTTAAGTAGGCATAGCATGATAAAAACGGCCTTAAACTTGATGAAAGCAGAATTTTATCGTCAAAATGTTTATGTTACTACCAACGCAAACCACGTGACGGACTATTGTTTTCATGATGCTTCCGGCCTTCCGTATATTTGAATTTTTGGACACAAAAAAAACATGTTATATTAGATTTTTTATCTATTTGCAGACTGCTCATTCTAACCAGCTTTATTTTATAATCTGTAATATTTATCTACTTAATAACACCTTTGACTAAACTGTACATCATTTTCATTAATTTTAGAATATTTATCAACTTTAATGTAAAAAAACAAAAATAATTTAAAAAATAACAAATAATTGTTGTAAAAATTTATTTTGCATCGAAAACGTTTTTTGCTTTCAGACAATATTATCCATATTCATAAAAACAAGGAAAAGCAACTAAAAGCATTTGAATTTAAATAATTTATTTGTTTTATTGGGTTTTGTATGTTACAATTCAGAGATGATTTTAAAGTAGAAGGGTGTCAACTAAAAAATTGATTTGCTTTCCTCAAAGCCTTGTGCTTTTAACTAATTAATCACTAAAATTGTACACATTTGAATTTCAAGAGTTTTCATAAAATTAGTTATGGGATAGGGTAATAAATATTAAAAACAATTTTACCATGAATTTAAAAAAAATAAACATATTTATAATAATTCCCATCATTTATGAATAGTTTCTAAATGTTTCATTAAAATCCGATAATTATTTTTATTTTTTCAAGATTTTCAAAATTAATGACTGCCATTAAAATTAAATGCACAAAACATCCGCCATCTTATTTAGTAGGATATTCGCTGATGAAGAGAAACGAGGTTTTTCAATCAGAAGTTAAAATGCTCTAATAAAGACAGAAAAATTTTGAAAAATAATTAAAAATTACTTTGTTCTTTCCTCTTAATACAAACATAAACATTTAGTCGATAAAATTGTATTTTCGTCACGTTTAAGGCCGTTATTATCCTGCTATGTTTATTTTCCAGAGAGCTCATGTTGGTGGCTAATTATAATATTTTAATTTAGTATTTTTATATAATGAAGGGTTTCCAGAATTTTTACTTTTTGTTTATTATTTTTTTGATGATGTACTAATGTATTTTTCGATTAATATCTGTCTAAAGTGTGAACGTAGACATGAGTGTTGATTTAAATATTCTGAGATTGAACTGTTCTCATTCAAGTGAAATATAATAATTAAATAATGACGTATGGTTTTGTCTTGGTAAAATTGTTCACTCTTGTAATGAGAGTAGTGGGATGTCTCATTTTATCGAATCCATCATATTTTCTATGAAGGCGGAAGTAAATAATTGTCATGCGCATTGAGTAAGCGAACCAAAAACTCATGTCATCGCGGAGGCCGTTAGTGAAAATACAGAACAGGGAGGGTTCGCGAATAGAGCCTGGGTGACGCTCACATTAATGTAAAACGATTTAGAGGGGTAGCCTTTCAAGTTGCACGGTTTGTTAAGAAAGATTGAATTATTTATAATTTAAATGTTATGGTTTGTCTTCACAGTCTCCAACAACGTTGTCTGATGAAGCAAAATTATCTTTTCACCTTACAACTTACCAATCTAATAATCTGATATTTTTCTTTCTTTATTGAATCAAAAATTTTCATTTTTTTTTAAATTTAAATAAAAGCACTTAACGATACCAAATTCGGAACCATGACTAAAAAAATTTAGGCTCAGTTGCAATCTCAAGCAAAAAATCTTGACCTGCTTTTAACAAAAATTTAAAATCCTGCATTCCTGATACTATTTTCGGTGAGGATAATTTAATAATAGAACTTATCATCTGCAACCCCCTACCATCTGCCAAACAATTTCTAATATCAGTGTACAAAGTTCAAAAGCTGATCTTTAATGCCTTGCTCAGGGGATGCTCATTTTGACAGTAAACGACTCCATCGGCACCTTTTGCTTGTGGGCACATCATTTTCAGCTTTACGCAAGATTGCAAAATATTTCTCGGGAAAGACGTAAGTTTAACTTCCCGTGAGAAAGATTAGAAAATCGAAGTTGTCACATCTACGAGAGCGTGTGAACAAATGAAACCATCAATTGTAAAAAAAAAAAAAAAAAAACAAATTAATGCTGAAAACCGAAATACAGGAATCCCTCGATTAGTGCGGCTAATGTGTACGTTAAAAGATACGCCCTAATGGAAAACATTAATCGAATATAATAACTTACAGGAAATGATGTAATTGGTACCTCAAATGTTAGTCTCATTCACAATTAATTTCTAATTTTTGTACTTTTATATTGAAATATAGACGCATATAACAAAATACAATAAAAAAATGGTATGAATTAATTTGTATTAATCTATTTCTTTTAATTAAAAACTTAGAATGGTTTGGCACGTGGTATTCTTCTATTCTTCATATAATTCAGGGTACTGAGAAATTGACTCTTCAAATTTTTCAAACATGTCATGATCATTTATATTTTAACCTGAAAATTCTATTCATAATATTTCCATAGTAAATACATTTTTTTTTCGACATTTTTAATAGATGTAAATTTCTGTATCTAAATAAATTAATCAGGAAATTCCTTTCAAGACCTTCAAAATAAACATGAAAAAAAATCAAAGCATTCAAACCAAAAAAATTACTAGAGACAAATATTGAAATAGATTTTCTCTATATTATCGGCTTATATTATAAAATGTATCTATTTATAGCCCGTCATATTTTTAACACTGTAATTAATAAGATGACGTAATACATGACAAAAATAGTTACCAGTTTATTATTATTTTTTTAAATTTAGCAAATATTTAATTAATCGGTAACTATAAAAGATTAATTTTTAATTACTATGGCTGAACTGAAGAAAGTGTTACCACATTAATAGAGTATTATAGGTACACTAATTGCATTTTGGATTATAAAAATCTTAACGGTCTTATCGAAAACACATTAATCGAGAGATACTTGCAAATGTATTGGCTTGTCGGTGGGGTCCTAAATAATGTTAATATCATACACAACAGAGGGGCAAGAAACACCGTCTTAAATGAGTAGTTGACAAAGTAAACAATTACAGATTCAAAAATAAAAGTTCAGTATATATGTAAGTTCCCATCCAAATAAATCAAATATACACAGACAATGATTATCTATTCCAGAACCAAGCAATCGGTTTTAAAGTCAAATGTAAATTATCGATATTTACCTACCCAGGAACCAATTAACTGTTAATAGATTTAAATACAAATGTTTAATATTTACCAAGCCAAGAAACGATTAACTAGATTTAAATACAAATGTTTAATGTTTAATGATTAAGGAATCAATTAAATTGATGTTAATGGATTTAAATAGAAATGTTTAATAGTTACATATGCAGGAACCGAGTAAATGATAATAAATTTAAATAGAAATGTTTCATGTTTAATGATCAAAGAATCAATTAATCAATCGTCATTTTCTCTCTTTTTTTCTCTCTGTCTATGCTTATATCCTTTCTTCAATGTTCTTTAATAAAAACTTTATCATTCTCTGTCCGTTGAAAATATATCAAATATAAATATTTAATAGTTACATATGCAGGAACCGAGTAAATGATAATAGTTGTAAATAGAAATGTTTGATATTTACCTATCCACGGACCAAGTTAATATTTATAAATTCAAATATAAGCAACAAGTCCATTAATTCTTGAAAATATATCAATATTTCTAAAGAATTAATGCGTTTTATTTATAAATCTAATATATTTTTATTGCTTGAAGGGTTATTCTTCGTGGATACTCATATTTGAGTAGACGTTCCGTTTATTATTTTTTTATCGCATTTTATTTCGCCTACCGGCCTAAACATTCAAGAAATCTTAATTAACAAAATGTTACCCTTCCGCAGGTTTCGAACCATCTGCGGCCTCCTTTGCAGGAAAAACCGTCGTTTGATCCGACGTGTTTCAAGCTCTGGGCTACAAAGAGCTTCATAAACCCGCTAGCTTCTATTTGTCTTAAAGCACACTTTATTCCTTCAGAATTCTTCGAATAACTTCTCAGTTTCCAATCAGAAATTAGACAAAGCAATTTCTAAATAATTAATCAATTTTATTTATTAAAAAATAAACACAGTGTCTACAAAAATATGGGTATCTAATAAGAATAATATATATATATTAAGAAATGGACAAAGTCCGACAATTTATTTATTAAAGACATTTTTATGTTTAACGTTGTTATTTATAGATACAAGTATTTAAGTAAATGCTCTGTTTATAATAAACAGTATTAAATAACATTTACCGGCCTGAATGTCCGAGAAATTTTCATAGAAAATATTCGTCCTTTGACAGGATTCGAACTTGCATCCTATACGGAACCGTCATTTACGCTGACGTGCCTTATCCGATCGGCCACAAAGGAGCGTTCGGTAGGTAAGGTCGAATTTACTGCTTGTATATATATATTAAGTGTGTGTGTGTCTGTACAGAGATTTGCTGAAATGTTCTTCTATGACAACAAATACACATCTAATACAAAATTGGTTAGATTTTAGGAAGTACGTGGGACCCCGTCCTTTTCAGCACCTCTTCCTATGTACCTACATCCAATAATTGTAATGTCAATTGTCCATTTTATTAAATTTATACGTGCCTAAAAACATATACAATAAGTAAGCCTGCAGACACTCTCAGTGACGGATATCTTGACAACACGCGGTGTATTTGCCAGTGTTTTTCAATCCACAAAAAATATCTTACAGTTATTCCCGCCCTAACTATTGCCAGAAATTTCTTCTGTCGCCATTTATCGCCAGCCATTTCCGTCCTGCACTAGTGTTGTTTGTTTTTTTTTTTATTATTTTCGTATTGTCTTTTTGTTGTTGTTGTTGTTGTTGTTGTTATTATCCACGCCCTTCATTTATTTCGTATTCATTTCCTCACGGCAATACTCAATCGATCTACTTCTCCTTCAAATTCGTCTGCTACGC